TGGGTTAAGGCTTCAGGTAGGCGAGTGACGAAAGCTGCCGGTTTCTCACTTGGTTGCTGGGTAATTTCCTGCACCTTGTCAGTTTACTGCTTTGTGAGAAACGGTTTGTAAGCTGGCCAGCAAGTGCTGTATCCTGCGGTCTCAGCAGACCCTGCGTTTGCATCCAGCTTGGGTATCTATTTGATAGGTCCAACCTGGATTTTCCCTAGGAACTGCCTGAGGACCCATGGGCATGGTGGCATCTGTGAGATGGATCTGATCTGCATGTTGCTGAGCGGCTGTAAAACCCGCTTCTGCTCATCAGGGGTGAGGGTGGAAGTGAGGACGACATAAAGGCCATGCCAGGTCAAGTCATAAGCCTGGGTGAGATATTGGAACTCCTTAATGTATGCAGTGGGGTCGTTAGAAAATGTGCCCAAGCGCTTTTCTATCTGCGAGAGATTTGTGAGGGGAAATGGCGCATGGATCCTGATGGGGCCCTCAGCTCCAGCCTCCTCACTGAGGGGACAAACGTGATGTGACCTACAGTGAGAGGAAATGGGAAAGTAGAAGGGCCGGGGGAGGCTGAGGCTGAGGAGGTTGAGGAGGAAGGGAAGATTGAGGAGTCTGACTAGGTTCCAGGCCCGAAGTGGGTGGAAGGGATTAAGGTGGAGGATGGGTTGGTGGGAAAGACAATGCTTCCAAGGAATCAGAAGGGGTGAGATTGGGTTGAGTGGCGGTGGAAGGTAATGGGAGTTTAGCAAGAGCCGGGGTGGATGATTGAGCAAGTAAGCCCTGGCTGGGTGACAGGTAACACATAAGGACAGGAGCAGAGGAAAAGTAAATCCTGAATGTACCCTACCTTCGCATCCAGCTTGGGCATCTTTTGATAGGTCCTCAGACCATTTTTGTGTCTGGCGACAAAAATTGTTGAGGTCACAGAGAATGTTGGAATCAAAAGCCCTGGCCAGCACGACTCATTGTCCAATTGGGATTGTGGCCGCACTTGGTTACAGAAAAAGAACGCATGCTTAGGGCAAATGTCCGGAGACAGGCCCAGTTGGGTGAGATTGGTCAGGAGGCATCCCAAGGGACTGTCCCTGGCAGGCTTAGACAGTGAGCTTTTCCATGGCGCCTTAAACTGCAAGGGGTATGGTCAGAGAAGGACGTCTCCTGGTCCCCGTCTGCACCCGTCAGTCAGGAGGTGGCCCAGTAAGCCTGAGAGGCGTCCCAGTCAGAGCTAGGGGCCCAGTAGGAGAGTCCTGGACTCCCCAGAACAGGAAGATCCCCTAGCGTGGGCCTGCAGTTTTAACCGGCAGACAGGGACCTTGGGTCAGTGACAGTGAACGAAACTGCAGGAAGCTGGAGAGGGCGAGGGGCCTGGCTTTGTCGCCAGCTGAATGAAGGGTGGTCGGAGGCCTTCATTTAGGAGGGAGCAGATTTTAGATAAGGTCTGAGAGCAGGCACCCCAGAACTGATGGTGAGGAGAAGGAGGTAGATTTTAGAGTAAATCTGAGAGCAGGCACTGCAGAACTTCCAGCACAAAACACACAAACAGGTAGAAAAAGCTCAGATATAGTCTGCACTCTGGTCCAGTCAGAAGGTGCAGTGACTGCTAGGTACTCACTTGTAGATGTGGTGGATGGGAGCTGAGGGGTCCTGGTTCAAGGGAAGGGAGGGAGGATGGAGGAGGGAGGGGTGCAGCACTCGCCCAAGGTGGGCAGGGCTGTGTCAAGACACCTCTTACTCCTCCTGGGTTTTGGCACCAAGATGAGAGGTTGGAGACGGAGATGCAGAACAGAGATAGAATTTAGCCAGGAATGTGAAGTTAAGAAAGATTTTTTTGAGGCAGGGAAAGAACTTCCAGGAGGAAAGGGAGACCAGAGAAAGGGATGGGGGCATTTTGAGCTCCCAGGTGGGTTCTGCAACCCAACGAGTTAGGTCAGGGAAGTTGTGAAGGAGGGCCTTCTGGTGCTGCAGTTGCAGGGTCTGAGTCAGGATGTGGTCTGTGAGTAAATCATCCTGGAACACTGAGGGAAGGGGCTATTTAGACCCAGCCCAGAGAGATAAGCTCCTTGGAATGCTGGGGCAGGGACTGCACAATCCAGCTCTGGCCTTGAGAGGTTGGGGAGGGGGGGAGGGACAGCACAGTCCAGTAGCTCTCTTTCAGGGGAAGCAGCTGCATGGTCTGGACCTGGCCCAAACATTACCCTTGCTCTAAATTGATGTCTCTCCTTGTCATTTACAAGTAAACTCTGACTCCTTAGGCAGCAATCATGCTTCTGTTCAGTTATTTGCTGGCTGTTCTCTCTACCTTTTATCTCCTACCCTTTCATGCTACTGCTCTTTCTTTGCTGTTCATAGTTCAATGCTAACTGATCTAGCTTTCAACCATTAACCTGGAATCGCACTGTACCTGCTTTAGCGCTAACCCAGCAAACAGGACTTCTCTGCAAGAAACCCCTTGAAGCAGTGCCCCAGGGGCTCTGTTCTTCTTGATAGCAGGGATATGCATAACCTGCTGTCCAGACACTCCAATGGATCATGACATTGCCACTGCTCATCTGCTTAGATGGTCACCAGATTCCTGCCTATCTTATCATGCTGCTACAAGTCTGCCATGGTTCTCATCACCATGGCTTCTCCTGTTTTCCAGTGTTTCTGATTCAGTATTGGAGATCTTTACCAGTATACAGTGGTTTACTGGTCCAGGAGGTTCTTAATACAGGTGTGCATGTTTCAAAGACATAGCCACCCCCAGTGTCTTGGTAATTAAAAGACCTAAGACTTCTCTAGAAAATTTGAGTTTCAGGATAGGGCTTTCCTAGAAGGAGAACCTCCTGACCAATGGTTCCAGCAGATTTTAGCTCAATCAATCACTCAGCAGATTGCAGTTCAACCAGCCCTCTTAAACAGATTTCAGTATTCCCAATGTGGCAGATTGTGGCCTGAACAATACTTCCAGTTGGGGTGTAAACACAGGGACAGAAAATCAACATGAGAGAGCCCATTGTGCCCACTATGCCAAGAAGTATATTAAAATGAGATAAATAATATGTTATAAAATTATATAAGTAATATTTTAATATCCTTTTTTCAAAGTGAATAAATACCATTCTCCTACTCTATCTGATTTGTAAGTTAAGTTTATAAAGTCAATTTTTTGTTTTTAATGAAAAAAATCCCCTTTGAGTAGTGTTAAATGCAACATGTATTATTAAATGTGTGATGATTTGGCCAGATTCCACCATCCAATGATGAGATTTATTCTTTGTGGTATGTTTAGTGCAGTTTAAATGACAAGATAAATAATAGGACACATATTTCTTTAGTTGATTGATATTTTTGTTTTTAGATTAAGCCCTACTACATGATAAAACACATTTTCCATTATGGAAATTATTATAATGGGAATAAAAGGAAAGTGGACCCAGAGCATGGGTTTTAGGTAACAGGTTTGATTGGAGTTAAGACCTGCCCGGGTGTTTAGAATGGAATGAGAATAAAGGGGGCAGGGTGGGGGAGATGGGAAGACAGAGTGAAGAGAGAAGAGCCGAAAGTAAGAAAGAGAGCAAAAGAGAAGAGACAGGGGACCGATGTGCGGACACAGGAGAAGCTGAGGCAAGAGAGAGCGTGAACAAAGGAATCCCGCATTAATAAACTTTGGGACAGAAATAAATTATTATGTCTAAAAAGAGCCCATGCTTTCTTCTGATTGGCTGTGGCACCAGCAGAACAGTGAAGGGGTGTGGGGAGGGGAAGTTCTGTGAGACATCTTGAGAAGGCCAGGTGTCACCTTAAGCTAGGGGTGAGAGATGCTGGCGGTGGTTCTCAACCGTAGTGTTACTGCTGGACCCTTTAGAAATAAGTAACACATCTAACTACTGCTTACTTTTAATCATTCAAAAGTATAGCATCATTTTGAAATAACAACTACATGGCTAGTTTTAGATTTATATACATATTTTCAATACATGGCATATATACATATTTGTATATACAGATGAGTTAAGTTAAAAAAACAACTGAAAAATTTTAAATCTTTTACTAAACAAAATGGTCACACTGTGTAGCTATTATGTATTGACATAATTTGTGTAGGTCTGTATACTTCTGAAGGCAGTGTTTCTATCACTGTAACTCTTCACCAATGAAATCTGGGCTCTGATTCCAGCATGTCAGAATGACACTTTTGGTAACTGCAAGGGACTTGTATTGAGTTCCATTACATTAGTATAGCCCTTGCTAAACCCAAGAAATGATTTGGTGTTTTGTCGTGCACAGATGCACCTTTCCTGGCCTGATTTTCACCATTGTTGTTTTCCATTTTTTTGAAACGTCTTCATAATCTGCCTTCATGATCATTCTCTGATGTTTGGTAGATTCTAGCAGGATTTTCCCCTTGGAATTCCAAAAGAACAGCCACTATAAGTGTTCCAGCATATCCCTCAGAAATTGCCTTGATTGGATTGTTTTAAGACAATCTAATAAGACTAAACTAAGCGTATTACTGAGAGAACTTGTCAGCAGTCATCCACTGATTATGCCTTTTGTTTGGAATAAATCCATATGTGTATAACCGGGAACCTAGTAGCATTTTTTTACTAGCCCTTGTATGTGTACGTGTGCACATGTATATACACATCGATGCAGTCAATATATGAGTGAAGTATCTGTGAACATAGTTGTTTTATTGAAATTAGTAGAACACAATATTTCACTGAATATAACTGCAAGTTAAATGAATTTCATTGCGAGGTAAGAAAAAGAAGCAGCAAGTTAACATTATTATACCAGAGACATAATTATTGAAATCCTCTGTCAATTTGGGGGATGTCATTAATAGAATTGTCATTTAGGAATTTCTATCTGATTTAAATCATTCCCATTGTTTCATTAAAAACAGTAAAAGAGTTATTTAGTACATTGTTTTTTCTAATGAACTACAACCTCACAATGTATTTGAGATTTCATTATTTTCTAAATTTTACCCTAATTAATGTTTAATTTTTCTTCTTTAGGCAATACAGCAAAAGTGTACATTGAGATTCAGGATGAAAATGATCATCCCCCCGTGTTTTCAAGAAAGTTCTACATTGGAGGAGTATCAGAAGATGCAAGAATGTTTGCGTCTGTGCTTAGAGTTAAGGTATGAAAACATCTATTGTTACCTTAAATAAAACCACAGGGGTCAGATGTTGCAAATAAATCATAAGCATGTCATTTGCATCAAGTGCATACTTACACATATTGTTTTTTAAAAAGTCCCAAACTTGAAAATGTATATACCTTAATTATCCAATTTTAATACAGATTAATTAAATTATTTGAGTAGTGAGCACATTTTTATCCTTTATTTTTACCATAAATGCCACCAATTTTCTAGGATGCTTTACACTGGATAGAACATTAACATATGTGTAAGTTTTTTTCCTAACAAATTTTTATGCTTCCATTAAAAAAAATAATTTTAGGAAAAGTTAAAATAATCTCAGAATCTTAGAGGGAGTTCGGAGGCATTTATATGCTATGCAGTTCATACTCTCAATTAAAGTATTATTGTTATTAAGGTATTTCAACTACCAGCTTCTAATGAAACTATAACATACACATAGTAAACAAAAGTTAATGAATCAACCAGGTGTTGATCGACTGTAGTTTTAGAAGCAAGTGTTTTCCTATTACTAGAAACATTATGATTAGATCTCTTTGTACATAGTTTTGTCACTTTATATTCCAACAATGAAAACAATATAAAAATCAAACAAGCAAATATTGTGCATTGCTTTGGCAGCATAGTTCTCCCATAGTTCCAAGTACTGGATTCTGATTTGGATTACCAGTTACAACGAAAAACTAACCACATGTTTAAGTATATACAAATATACTCTGACTTTCAAGTAACATTTCTTTATAACTGATTTTGATCTCAATATTTTCATCCCATTAAGGACTAGTTGGTTTAGTTAATTCATCTATGTTGCAAAGATATCTAGGGTGCACATAATATTACTAAGCATAGTTCTAAAAATTGGTCAAAGGATAATAGAAAATATAATCAGACATACACCCAAACTAATAACACATTAGTAAAAACAATAACAATTTTAATACAATGTTACATTGTGATGGAGTCCCTGGGTGGTACAAATGGTTAACCCACTGGGCTACTAAGCTAAAAGATGGCGATTGGAATCCCATTGGAACTGACTCGATGACACTTAACAACAACAACGACAACAACAGCAGGCTTCAGTAGAATGATCTGGAGATCTACTTCCAAAAGGTTATGAGCGATGCAGCCAGTTCTGTCCTGAACCAGATGGGGTCATGAATTGGAATCCATTCAACAGCAACTGGTCATGAAGTGATAAATTCTTTGAGAAAAGGCCATAAAGTTGGAAAGAGAATAATGAGAGTTATGCTATATTAAATAAGAAGAACAACTTATCCCTCTCTGATGGAATAATATGTGAATAAGGACCAAACAAAGAGAAAGTGCAATACATGTAGATGACTGAGGAAAGAATATTCTGGGCATGCAATCGTAAAGTTCCTGAAGCTAGATGCTACTTGCAAGCTTGTGTGACTGCAAAAGTCTGGTAGGAGCTCAGATTGGAAATGTAGCCAAGGGATAGAGTTAACAGATTTATTCTAGGTACAGTAGAAAGAATGCTTCTTAATTGTTTTGACCAGAAGAATGTGTGTGTTAGGGCGGACTAGAGAAACAAATCCAGAGACACTCATGTGTATAAGAAAGAGCGTTATGCAAAGAGTAATTGTGTAGTAAGAAAACATGCCAGCCCAGTCCAGATCAAGTCCATAAGTTTGATATTAGCCCATATGTCCGATACCAGTCTGTAACGTCCTCCTCAGACATATGCAAAACTCTGCAATGACACAGAATGCAGGAATATCACAGGCGGATGGGTGGATAGTCTTGTGAATCCAGTGGTGGTGGAAGCATCTCAGCGCTGGAAGGGGTTTTCACGTGGCTCTTCCAGCTCCAGAGCTCTGGTTCCATCAGCCTAGCTCCATGTGTCTTGTCAGCAGGAATGTCTGGCAGGGAGAGAGGCAGAGAGAGTATATCTGCCCTCCAGTGAGCTATTTACCTCCTTCAAGCCTCCAAATGAGATCATCAAGCTGCAACCTGATTGACAGGCCTCCACCCCTTCACAAGTTGACAGGAGATTATGTAACTGCCACAAGAGTAACAATACCTTTTCTAAAAGGCTTATTCTGGCTTTGTCATTTAACTTTTGTCATTTAACCTTTGTCATTTAACTCAGAGACTAGGAAAGCATGTCTGAGAATAATATTCTAGAAGCAGCAATTTGGAATAAAGCTGCCTAAGGTCTACTCCTAGGTTCTGTGCGGGATAAAGTATAGTAACAACTGTTTGAGACAGCTGCCGAAAGCAGTATCACTTTGGAGTGGAGAATGATAGCAATGAAACCCAAAAGGCAGTATTTTGAGGAAAGGTTAGCTATTGAAAAGCTGCTACTGAACTCCAGAGAATCACTGATGAAGTTGGGAATAAAGGCAATTTAGTCTTATTAACAGGTGTAAAATAAAGTAACATGCGGAGAATTGTCTAAATGATGAGATAATGGTAGCGTTGGACTTCTTGTGGTGTGGCAAATAGGGATGCAGTTGATCTGAAAGACTTCTAGACACAGAACACTGGTTGTGGTGATAGATAGCTCCCTTCTATGTCAGGTTTCTTAGATTGTTTATGGTGGTGAGTCGGGCCCTTGGAGAGGCTGGCGGAGCAGGACACGGTAAAATTACGACTGAAAGCTCTATAAAACACTTTACTCCAGGATAGATAGACATTTCACTTAAAGATCATAAGAAAACCCATAAAGAATGAATACTTTAAAATTGATGCTTACTTTCTCAAGGTAACGTTCCTAAGAGTAAGTCAAAAAGTATGTCTACAAAATCACAAAATCTTTTATTAAACAAAAATATTCAAATGTGATTCTATTTGTGTATGTGTGTCCTATTTGGCTTCAAAGACTTATGGAAAGATCAGCTCTTTGGGCTTACTGACCTTTGCGCAATGCTTTCGGCATTCAACTAGTGGGAAGGTTGCCGAGGATCAGACATTTCCTTCAACTCAAGCCAGGTGAGAGCTAAGTGTCAGCCAGCAGCTATCACTGGTAATTCTAAAGTCGTCTTCCACGCGTTTCTAGACTTCAGCCAGTTTGTCATTGGTTGAGGTTGACAGTCCTTATTTTCTTGCCTCACCTTTGAGATCTTTGTTAAGATATTGGAACCTTCTAAAAACTATTTAATGTAGAGCAGTATTCTCTGTAGCTTGTTGCAAAGCTTCAATTATATGAAGAGCTGCTCAGTTGAGTTTTGCTAAATATTTGATATCAGGCCTTACCTCAAACTCATCTCTCCCCATATCAGAGACACACACACACACACACACACACACACACAACATTATAAAACATAACTGAAAACACACAAATGGCAGAAGACAAATTAGATATCTGGGACTTCCTAAAATATTAGACACTATGTGCATCAAAAAATTTCACCAATAGAATAAAAGAGAACATACAAATATTGGGAAGGACATATCAAACAAGGAGCTCATCTCTAAAAGTATAAATAATTTCAATACCTCACCACCAAAAAGATAGATAATCCAATATGAAAATGGCAAAGGACAAGAACAGATAGTCACCGAAAGCACATATATGAAGACATACTTGCAATCAGGACCAGTAGAGAGATGTAAATCCAATCAATAATGAGATATTATCTCATCCTAGGATGAATAGCAAAGTGAAAAAAAGCGTACTGGCAAGGTTGTGGCGAGACAAAACCCTCCTAGGGCTGTAAACTGGTTTGACCACTGTGTGGAATAGTAGGGCACTTCCTTAAAAAGTTGGAAATAAAAATACCATATAAGCTAACAATCCCAGTACTTGGTATATATGCTAGATAAATAAGAGCCATGACACAAATAGATATATATGCACATGTTTATTTTAGCACTTCTCATAATAGCAAAGAGATAGGACCAACCTAAATCCCTCTCAGTGGACAATTGGATGAACAAACTGTGGTAGACACTTTGAAATAAGGAAGCTAAAGTGAAGTGAGTCAATCACAAAGGGACAAATATTGCATAAGATCACTATTATCAAATGTCAAGAAGAGATTTTCAAACTAAAAGAAACATTTATTTTTTTAATGTTTATCAGGGATATGGGGAAAAGGAGGGGTAGTAAATCACTAACTAGCTTGGTGGAGGGGATTGAAAAATAAGTAAATACATAAATAAAATTACTTTGGTTAGCGATAGAAAATACAAAGAACACAATGGAAGCAAACACAAAGCATACATTGCAAATTTATAAATAATGTATTTTTTGTAAAATTGTGTCTCAATTTACTTTTCTCAATAAGTAATATCCAGCAAAAATAAAAATCTCGTATCCACCTTATTTGGTCCAAAATCAAAATAATTATTTCTAAACTCATCTGAGCCCTCAATACTGTTAAGAAAATAATATATTAACTTATGCCTAATTCTTCCTTTACTCTGGACATTTCTATTTTCTCTTCCTGAACCACTCTCCATCCTTCACCCTGTTCGGTACCCTGGAAGGCTGAACTTCATGGGCTTCTTTTGACTTCTGGTTGGGTTCAGCTATAAGAGACTCTGGCAAGAACCTTAAGCCAGGTTGGGAATATATTGGCTTGACTCCCTTTTCCTGAAACGAAATTACCCTGAAGGGCACAATTTCTACAACCATGATTTTTTACTTATAATTGTTCCTCTTCTTACACTTTGGGGCCTGTGGGTGGCAAAACTATTGCTAGCTCCTGGACACTCTCCTATCTATTTTCTTTTCTCTTAACACTAACCTTATTTGTCTAAATAGTGCCTTCATTCAACTTTGTCCACCATTAAAACACATCAGAAGTACCATCTAAGATCATCGATCTGTTCATTAATAGCTTCAATTCATTACCATGCTCTGAAAAAGTGAGGGTATGAGCGTAAGATATGAACTATAAGAAGTATGAGAGGCTGGAGTGTATACTCTGTGCTCTACATGGTCAAGGACTCCAGAGGTCCCTAAAATTAGGGGGACTGACTCAAAGGTCTGGAGAACTGGC